TCCTGCAGGATCCCCGACGCCATCAAGAGCAACAGGCAAAGGACGCGGTTTCGGCGAGGCTTCATCCTGGCGTCCTGGGGGCGTTTCCGAGAGGAGGAAGGAGCTCGAAGTCTCTCTTTCTTCAAGAAGGTGGGGCTGCTTTCTCTTCCTCGAGAGTGATGTCTTCAAGGTGAGCCTCGAAGGAGTGTGAAGACTAAAGGCGATTGACACTGAATCTGCACCTGGACTCGAGGTCAAGGGAAATCTGATGCGCAATTTCGCCTTCGCGTCCCCACTGAAAACCACCACTAATCGGCCGTCGCTGCTGCTTTACGTACAAGGAATCAAGCAAAACGAATCAAAACGCAACAGAACCAGACCACGAGACTTAATCCGGCAACGAACGCCCGCGATTCAACCGAGTCACTTTAACACGAGCGCCAAACCCAACACTGAAATGAGCAACACAGACACACAAGATCGCATCGGCTGTCCTCCTGAATTCGCCAACTCACGGCCTCCTTCGCACAAATCGTGGACGCACTTCTCGGCTTCGGGAGAGAGAGCGCATGAGAGAAAGAAAGAAAAAAAAAACAAGAGAGAAAGAGAGAGAGAGATAACCCAACGCTCGTGGGATATCTGCGTGGCCAATATCCCAGCTGTGGCAGGCCAAGTGACCCTAGTAAAGGCGCGGCCACACGAGATATGGCTGGCTGAGCCCTTCGGTGCTTGTATCCTCGCTGGGCTGAGTTGCCGACGGGGCCCTGTTATTTCATTTTTACACGGACATTTTTAGACGTCTGTTACCAATGGCAGGTGCGGACGGGGCCCTCGCTCGTTCACCTATACAAGAGGAGGATCCCATCGCCTTTCTCTGGGAGACAACGACGCAAAAACAACGACGAACGCAGCACCAGCTATTACCATAAGGGGCAGGGGGGGGGGGGGGGGGAATTGCTCATGCAGCGCGATCTGACCATAGCGGCAACGGCAGTTAAGGACATCAACACGTTATTGAAACAAGTGTCTTCGCCGGTTCTGATTAGGTCTGTGATCGGGCGCCCTCCCTCTCCTCCCTCCCCTCCCTCTCCTCCTTCCCCTCTTCTCCCTACCCCCTCCTTTTCCTTTTTTTTTTTGGGGGGGGGGGGGTCGGTGGAAGATCTGTGGCAACTTCGTGTTTCTCCTGGATTGAAATTTTGCCTTGATTATCCAGATGTAGTTAGCGTTATTCTATATTCTTGTGTGTGTGTGAGTGTGTGTGTGTTTAGATATACACATACCGACACCCGCTCACTACTACCCACATACAGAAAAATTGCCACAACTCCCCCACCAGGGGCTATATATATATATACATATACATATATATCTGTGTACATATGTATACACACACATATATACATACATATATATATATGTATGTATATCTGTGTGTATATATATATATATATATATATATATATATATATATATATATATATATATATATATATATATATATATATATATATATATATGTATGTATATATACGCATATATGTATATATATACATATATATATATATATATATATATATATATATATATATATATATATATATATATATATATATATATATATATGTATACACACATACGTGCATATATATATATATATATATATATATATATATATATATATATATATATATATATATATATATATATATATATATATATATATATATACATGTATGCATGCATGTATTCAGACTGAGAGACAGGCAGAGGCAAATAGAGGAACATAGAGATAGATGTATACATTTGTAAAAGTACATAGTGAGATACGAGTGTAGAATTCTACATGTATATGTGTGTGTATGTATATATGATATAATATATATATATATATATATATATATATATATATATATATATATATATATATATATATATATATATATACATATATATATTGAAAACCATTAGTTCATAATCAGTGTTTCACCTGCTGGAGAAGTGGTATGATGCCCCTTCTGTCAGACATGACGTCACCTGCCACCAGAGGGCAACAACAACCATAAATGTATCCGCATTGTCCCTCCATCATGGGGGATACAGCTGTATTGCCCCTTCCTCGAACACTCTCTTCGTGGGAATGGCTGGCTGTAAGATCGCGCTTCTGCTCCATAGAAGATGAAATGAAATGAGATAAATCGATAAATAAATAACATTTTTTTTTTTAGATTCGCGCTCAAAAGGAGTGAAACGATATGATGAATTTCTTGATCTGAAAATGAGTTTAGGTTCGTGGTAGGTGATGGGAGGGGGGAGGTGGGAGGAGGGAGGGAGGAGGGGCAGTGAAGGGAGGGGGGGGATGGAAAGGGTTGACAGGGGATTATACCTAGTTAGTTTTATTGCGTTTGTTTGTTTGGCAGAAGTCCAGAAGAAATGCTGGTTGTGCAGTGTATCTGGTTTATCGTATTGTGTTTCAGATTTTGAGAAAAAAAAAATAATAGGAATTGTGATTCTTAAATTATGG